CAGATGCTGGAGAATCCGAGACAACAAGGTGCAGGGCTGGATGAACATAGCAGGCCAAGCAGCATCATAGGAGCAGAGAGGCTCCTATGATGCTGCTTGGCCTGCTGTGTTCATCCAGCCCTGCACCTTGTTGTCCTTTATACTCTTGACCAGTTATACGTGGGTGTGCTAATGCCATGACACCTGACAGGCGGGTGGCATTTTACTTTTTCCTTGACAGGGCCCTTTGGTCTGATATTAGGCAGGTACACTCACTCCATACAGCTCTTCTCAGCTTAGGCATTTACCGACTGTAGTTGCAATCCTCTCCAAAGCTTCTGATTGCCAGAAATGCTCAAGCTTTGAAACCCTTGACCCAAATCTCCGCACCAACATTTTTTTCGAACCTACATTGTTGACAGACACTGCATGGAGATTCAAGTGAGTTATTTTCTTTAAAAAAAAAGGAGGCAAATCTTTTCAAGTCTTAATGATCATCCCATCATACTCTCCAGTTAGTTCCATCAAAATATCAAAGATATCAAACTTAAATGTGAAGGCTGCATCTTCCAGCTTAGCCGACCCATGTTGCCACAGCTGATTGAAGACCTTCTTGTTAAAGGACACTTAACCATTTCCTTCCATCCAAAAATCATGGGAAAACAGTGATTGTGAATGCAGATTATTTATTTATAATAAGGATATTTCCAAAGCCATGAACTTTAAATCATGCATTTCATGAGAATATTGTTTTATTTGTACCATCTTTTGGGGATCTGAATGAATAATAAAACCATTGCCGTATTTGAGCATTTTACAACGCTTCCACTGTCAGAGGCACAGATAGAAAGAAATAGATTGAGAAACACACACACACACACACACACACACACGCACGCACGCACGCACAATAAAAGCGAAGATTCTTAAATGTTCAAAGTGTTTGCCAGATGGAATTTACTGGTTTTAAAAAATGCCTTTGTCACAGCCGTAACAGATTGAACAGACTATTGCTTTTAAAAAGACAGTATATCTTTTTCTGTTGGACCACACAGGGTACTATTCAACATACTAAAAATAAAAATTAAACTTGCACACAGTGCCGTATAATACACCCCAGGCTTTCCCAGATCTTAATGTGGGTTTTTTCCAGTGATGTTAAATTACAGCTTTTGAAGTGCGTTTTTTAAACCACCAGATTAAATGGTGGTGGCAGCTGAATTATTCAGAAAAGTTTTGTTTCGGTAATTGTATTATATTCATTTTTGCATTTCAGGGCACAACTTAGTACTCATCAAGGTTGATATTACAGAATGGAACTTTTCCATCTTTGTTATTCTATTTCAGCACTAAGCACTTGCAGGGTGGTCATAACACAGTCTACGCACAGGATAAACTTCTTCCTACACTGCTTGATAAAATTCTGCAGGATAATTAGCTGTTGTGCAGTAATGTGCTCATCTATCATTCATTAAATTTTAAATGCATTGTGTAGAATAAGCACTTTTCGAGAGTGTAACAGTTGACACTCTTTAATACTTGAGACTGCACTGTAATTTTTCCCACCTTATTTTCATTGCTGGCCATCTTATTGTTTTAAAGTAACATATGGTCTGACAAGTGGTTAAACTAGTTAGTATATGTTTGTGTGTATATTTATTTTCACAACATTGGGATAAGGCTATAGCTCATCTGTTGAAATTATTTGGCTCTTTCTCTAATAGCTGAACAATCCTCTCTGCCAGATGATTTTCCCAAGTGATGAAGAGGAATGTCAGATATATTTGTTAGTTTAGGAAAACTTACGCTGAATTTGACAACACGTTTGCTCTTGTTGTCTCATCAAGGATAAACGTTTTGATAATTGTTAATTTGACTGCTATGGACTATAAAGTACTCGTCCACCATATCATTCTATCCGCATCCATGTACAAGGAGAAGCTCTTTCTAAACTCAGATTAAAAGCCATTTCTCCCTAGCGTTACAGTAATTACAGGCCATCCCTTCTGACTCCTCATGTGCTGTTGACTTCCTCACCTAGGGTTGCAGGCTGCGTTTGACGAAGACTGGCAGACAGGCAAAATCACCAGGGAGAGTTACCGCAATGGCTCTGAAGATGGAGTCCTCGCTTATAAATTACTCATACAAACTGGAAACAAAAAAGAGCCCTTCAACTATAACCAGGTGAGCAGGATAAGCAAACATGTTTTAGAATTGTCAGGACAAGTACTGTCGTTGTTTTGCTGGTCTCTGTAGGCTGGAGTTAAATAAGTTGAAAATTACCTTCAATGTAACAATATCTGATCTGAATGGCGTGGCTGGTTAGCGCGCACAGTTTAAGATCTGGGTTTGAATCGAATCCTGATTCATAGGATGGAAATCCCCTTTAACTAACACCCTTAATTTGGCACTCAGTTAGCAGCAGCATTCAAATTACAAAGGCATCTGATGCAGGGAGTGTCAACTGGTGCCTGGATAGCAGTCTAGAGCTGAGGGAGGGCATAAACTTGAAGCAGAGTAGAGAGAACTTTGCTTCAAATCTAACTAGTGTCGTATCTGATTTGATGATTATAGTGAGTGATGTGTTTCACAGTCACTGTAATTTCCTGGAACTTGCTTTAATCACTCTCAATGGTTGAAAATAAATTCTTCAGGCTCCTTCATACTTCATTAGTTTAGGGTTTTTCCTGTGTTTTTCAGGAGATTACATGTTCCGTGTTGAGTGGAGAGGCTATGAGAATCCTGATCAATAAGACTGTAATGGTCAAGCTGGGTGCACCATCTGTTCTTCTCCTGCCTATTATGTTTATATGATATAAAAATTCTGACAAAAATTCTGTTCCCCACCACAGATATCTTTACTTTACTGAGTACCAACTCTACAGCGTCATTAATGTAAACTTTGTAACTCATGTATTTCTGTGAACAGAGAGTGTACCATTTTTTTCTGTGTCTCACCTGAGGCTAAAGAGATGCAGTAATGACTTCCTTGCTTTCTTTACGACAGTTGACTTCAAGGAAGTTGGTGGATGAGAATGGAATCATCAACCCTGATACCTTTTACATCTATCTGACGGTGTGGGTCAGTAACGATCCATTGGGTTACGCTGCATCTCAAGCGAACTTCAATCCCCACCCACCTGAATGGATTCACGACAGATATGACACAACTGGAGAGAACTTGAGAAGTAAGTATTGCAAAATGTGTCCCAGAGTCCTGTATCACTGAGCAAACTGCCTTGTCTTGAGGAGAACTCCAGAATATAAATCATACAGCATGCTGTTAAAGCTTACTTATAAACTGCTTCCAGTCAGACAGTGAAGAAAAAGTTCATTAATGTAGTGAACAGAGGCTCAGTGGTATTGCATTCCCCCACTCACCTCCCCAAACCTAAAATAAATTCTGGTCATCTTTTTCTAGATGGCAGGAATGTGTGATTTTCTTAGTGGTTTTCTTCCTTCCCACATGCACTCTGTAACTTATTCTCACAACTTGGCCAAGTGGTATTATTGCTAGACTATTAATCCAGAGGCTCAGGAAACCTGGATTAGAATCCTGTCACGGCAGAGGGCAGAATTTTTGTTCAGTTAGTCAGTTTGGAATTATGAGTGTATTCATAGAATCCCTTCAGTGTGGAAATAGGCCGTTTGGTCCAACAAGTCCACACCGACCCTCAGAGCATCCCACACAGACCCATCCTCTATAGCCCACGGAATCTACGCATCCCTGAACGCTATGGGCAATTTAGCCTAGCCAATCCACGTAGCCTGCACATCTTTGGACTGTGGGAGGAAACCAGAGAACCCGGAGGAAACCCGCGCAGACACGGGGAGAATGTGCAAACTCCACACAGACAGTTACCCAAGGGTGGAATCGAACTCAGGTTCCTGGCACTGTGAGGCAGCAGTGCTAACCACTGAGCCACCGTGCCGCCCGTTGATGGCCATGAGACTATTGTTGAATGTCAGAAAAAGCCATCTGGTTCACTAATATCTTTTAGAAAAGAAAACTGCCATCTTTACCCAGAGTGACCTACACGTGACTCCAGCCCCACAGTAATGCAGTTGACTCTGGGCAGTTAGCAGGGAGCAATAAATGTTGGCCTAGCCAGTGACATCCACATCCTGTGAATTAATTTAAAAATCTCATTTATTACTTGGCATGCTGAATTTATTTTATGTAAGTCTCACATTGCCATCAGTTGTTGCTATGCGGTTCAGTGACCCACAGTCTTAAGAGGAGTTAACTAGCCGACTGTTCAAAACCAAACTACTGTAACAATAGTGATGGCACAAGATGTGTAGACTTACAGTATATCTTGGTATTGATTCTTGGAATCAAAAAACACAAATGCTCGTCTGTACTTTCTTTTATAGTAAAATATAGACTAAAGCAGGATGAGTCAATTAAAGTACGGTTGCTAGCTCCTTTGAGGACGTTCTGACTAGCTTTGAGGAAATAAAACACTGAAAGGACCCCAGGGTGGGCTAGGGATAGAGAGAATTAAAATTATGCTGACCACAGGCATCTTAGTCAGGAGACAATTCTGGGTGACTTGAGAGACAAACCCTAACCTTATAATGCATCTCGGAGTCTGGCAATGTTAATGAGACTCGATGTAAAGTGGTCTCCTGTCTGTTTCAAGTCATCTGTTGCTATCAGTCATGCCCTCTAGGTGCTGATGGCTTTCTGTATTGTCACAGCGCTGCTGACCTTCTTCACCTAATTAGCAGCAAACACCTGTTGTGAGCAGTCACAGCCAGCAGCTAACAACCCCGTGACCCATTTGCAGAGGTCGCTGGACATGCACTGACCACACCAAATGGTCGAGTCCTGTCTAAAGCATTCAGATGTGCCATACCAAACCTAATCCCCACCAGCAAATCTCTTTTGCAGCAGCCTCATAGCACCTGCTGCAGTCAATGCGTAAGGACATCAGAAATAGGCCTTCATTCCATTTTTCCACCCGCCTCTAATAACCTTTAGATCAAAAAATCGGCCGGTACTGCAGCATAAATCTTTTCAATGACCCCACTTGTAATGCTTTCTGAGGTAGAAAATGTCAAAGATTAGCAAGATGGAGTACAACGCACATCTTTGCTTCCCACGTTGGAGCATAAGAAATTTTTCCTCATTTCTATTTTAAGTGATTAAGATTTATTTTGAAACTGTGCCACCGACTTCTCATTTCTCTCACAAATTGAAATATCTCTCTGCATCTGACCTCAGAATTTTGTGTTTCAATAAAGCACCATTCGTTCTTCTAAATTCCAGAGTGTACACCCAAACTGCATCCTATAAGTCCTTCATCCAATAAATCAACGTAGTAAGCCTTCTCTGAATGATCTCCTATACAAGTATTTCTCAAATGTGGAAAGCAAAAATGTAAGTTGTATATCAGGATTGGTCTCACCAGTGCCCCGCACAGTTTTTGTACTCCATCTCCCATGCAATAAAGGCCAAAATTCCAGTGCTACTGTGCCAATTAATATAAGCCAAAGATGGATTGGTCAGTAGTTCTTTGAAATGGGGATATATAGAATCCTGGTTATGTTGCTACAGCAATGACATTTCCTGTACAATATTAGAATAGATGAAGGATATGTCTTTAACCTATAACTGTCCGCAGTAGGAATAAAACGTATTGTAGTAGGATCACATTGTATAACTTCATTGAGTATCATGAAGGTTAACTTTTTCTGTGTCCTTCTTTCAACCAGTTCCTGCTGCTGAGCTGATCGAGTTTGCCCAGTTCCCTTTCTACTTGACTGGCCTGCAGCAAACTTCAGATTTCATCGAAGCCATCGAGAGCGTCAGAGCAATATGTGAAGAATTCACGAAGAAAGGGTTGCTCACCTATCCCAATGGTTACCCTTTCCTGTTCTGGGAGCAGTACATTGGCCTAAGGCATTGGTTTCTACTCTCTGTCAGCATTGTGTTGGCCTGCACATTTCTGGTGTGTGCACTTCTGCTGCTCAATCCTTGGACAGCCGGCATCATTGTAAGTGTCTATATTATAATTACCATGACAACATTAACATGATGGGTAGACCTGATGAGGCAGACATATTTTGCAGTGTTGTTTCTTTCAAAATGTTTCAATTTTGTTGCAAGATTTTTTCATTGTATTCAACTACTGGACCTCTTAAAGAGTTATATCCAGAATCCTGTCTCCCACAAATGGAGTGTTTAGGTGGTTAGAGATCAGGTATGGATTCCTTTCATTTTTTTCTTATATATTTTTCAGTTATCTTGTTTTTCTCATCTCCACACTACACCACTACCCCAGTGGAGAGTTTAGTATACCAGCAGCTTCTAGGTGTCTTCCAGTGGTTCTTCATTACCTGTTATCATTGGCTGTTTATTTAGCAATTCTGCTTATGAATGTAAAGTCATACGTTACAGAGAGAAACCCAAGAGGGGAGATACTCGAAAAGTAGCATTTTGCAATTTTATGTTTAGCAAGAAATAATCATAGAAATATTTAAAGTCAACATTACCAATGCTACATAACCTACAAGCACAAACAATGAGAATGAGATGTCGCATGTTCTTATGTGTGAGAGAATGCATGCAGATCTCACCGTGATCTATTCAGGAATAACATACCGCTGTTACCTCAAGTTAAGAACAAAAACCTAGAACTCTGTGTGATAAAGTGTATTGAAACATTTGTTATTATTTTGCACACGCAAGCTGTACAGTTTGATTTAAACTTTGCTAAATTGATCCTGCAATTGGTGGCACATCCAGTTGTGACAATAACCCCTCTTCCCAGTATTTTTGACCAAACAATTCCATTTTCACACGGTTAGGGTCCTAAAACACTTAGAAATTGAGAACTTGCCTTTGTTTTTTTGGAAGGAAGAATATAATACAAAAATATAATTGAGACCACAGCTTGATAAATTTGCGGGGCTACAAGCTTGGAACGGGGCAACAGAGTTGACTGGATTACTTTTCAGAGGGCTAACAACAGCTCAGTGGGCCAAATGGCCTCCTCATATGCTGTCATGACCTGATAACAATGACACTTTGACGATAATAGCCTTCATGTTCGAAAAAAAGTTCCCGTTTCATTGACAGTGATACAACATGTTTGGAGCCTTTCCAGTTATTCCCGGGAGGAGCAAAGATAGCACTAGCCGTTGTATTCCTTGCAAGGACATTGGAAAGCTTTTGGGTTGCTAGTCAAGTCGTTGTAACATTTAGTTACAAGATCAATCAATGCTTTAAAAATAAGTTAAAGTTGACAATACAATTGCCAGAGAAAATACAGCACGATACCTTCATTTTTATAACTTCACTAGTCTCTGCAGAATCGCTCACAGTTGCCAATAAATTAACTTGTAGGGGATATTGTTTGAGGTTGATGGAGTACAGTGGGAAGTAATCATTTAAGAAAACAGTGATAAAATAGTCAGTGCTCAAGGGATACCCACATCCCCGTCTGTCTGAATTTGGGGAAAGAATTGTCCTTGACTTGACCTTCAAGTGCTAAATCCATCCATCAGTAACTGACGGGTTATAGCAGGAGAGTGGCTGGGAAGGATTTCACACTAAGGAGGGAGAGGCCTGTTGGCCAGGAGGGGTCACCGCAAGGCATTTTTCCAAAGCCTAGTTAATAATACCATGAAAAGCAAACCCAGCTTCAAGAGAAAGCTGCCAAAGACTGATTCTTTTGGAAAGGAATCTGTGTACATACTTCATATTGACAAATGTAAAATGAATAAGATTTTGCAAAGCCAAGTGTGTCTCTGTTCTGCCTTAATAGAAACAGTGTTGCCTCTGAACCAAAGGTTTTTGGACTCAAGTCTCATACCAGAGACTCAAGCGTAAAATCCAGGTTGACACTCCAGTGCAATACTGAGAGAGGTGCCATCTTCTCAAAGAGATGATACATTGATCCCAATCTACCCCCTCAGGACATTGGAAATGATTCCATGTCACTATTGAGCTGTGGTTTTGTCAATATCTGTCCATCAACAAACATCATTAAAAAGAACACATTATCAGGTCATTTATAACACAGATACAGTATAATGTTGTCAAAGAGCTCCTATATTGTATATGTGACATATATGATTTGGAGTTTTATGACAATAATTACTGAAGAACATGAAAATGTTTAGGAATAGATACCAACCAATAAGTACAATGAGCTTATTCCTTTTTGGTATATTGGAGTTAGGACCAGGAGAAGACTGTTGGAACCTTCAAACTTGTTCTACCATTCAAAAAGATCATGCCTGATCTGACTAGGATCTCAATTTCACTTTGCTGTCTGCCCACTATAATCCCTTGGTTCCATTGTCTGTCAAAAATCTAACTCAACCTTGAAATAAGTTCAATGTCACAGCCTCCATAGTTTTCTGAATTCCACGGCCTAATGACCTGTCCTCAGAGAAAATAAATCTCCACATTAAAAGTGAGATATCTTATTCGTATACTGTGCCCATCAGTTCTAGTCTCTCCTTCAAGGGGAAATGTCCTGTCAGAGTTACTCAGTCAAGATCCCTCAGAATTTTATATTTTTCGATTAGGTCTCCTTTCATTCCTCTAAACTCCAATAGGTAAAGGTACAACCTGTTCAACCTTTCTTCATAAGATAAGCTTTAGACCATTAGACATAGGAGCAGAAATTAGGCCATTCGGCCCATCGAGTCTGCTCTGCCTTTCAATCATGGTTGATAAGTTTCTCAACCCCATTCTCTCGCTTTCTCCCCATAACCCTTGATCCCCTTGACACTCCCAGGAATGAGTGAGTGAACCTTCTCTGAACTGTTTCCAATGAAATTATGTCCCTTTTCGAATCAGGAGACCAGAATTGTATACAGTACTCCAGATGTAGTCTCACTGAGGCATTGCACAGCTGCAGTAAAATTTCCCTACTTTAATATTTCATTCCTCTTGTAATAAATACCAGCGTTCCATTTGGCTTTCTAGTTCCTCGCTGTGCCTACTTACTAACATTTTATGATTCATGTGCCAGGACATCCAGATCCTTCTGTACTTCCAATTTATGCATTATCTCACCATAACCCTCAAAAGTTCTTGTCTCCAGTGATATCTTGTTGTATCTTGAATTTATTTTAATTTTCTGCTTGAACAACCTTCTCTGGTGAGAGACCATGTGATGTTATCTTGATCTCCAGGAGCTCAGTGAATTTATGCAGTGAATAAGTGAACCACAGAACACATCCCAGTTGCCTTGTTACACCACCTCAACATTACCATCATCTGTTCTCAGTATTTTCTAAAATGCAAAATTTCAACAAGAGAATTTGTTATTTTTTTTAAGTACATGTGATTAAGAGTGAGTTCAAAAATGGAAAATGAGCAGATAACTGGGGTAAGGTTACAAGGATGTAAATGAATTCAGGGCCTTTGGTTGATTTTCATAAACTACTCAAGTTTTACAGTTGGTAATTTGAGATTTCATCTCATACAGCGCACCCCCTTCCACCTCTCAAGACACCCTCCACTCAACTGCAGCCTCATATTTTACTCTTAGGGATCTATTAAACTGACCCATTGCTGAGCTTCACAGGATGGCTTCATCACATGTGGGATTACAATATCAGAAACTTCAATTTGTTTAGTTGGCCACAAAACAGTCAGCAGGCACTAGCGCCAAGACTGAAGGATGAGCTGTACCTCAACATTTGCCTTCCCTTAAGGACCACAGACAGTTTTTAGTTTGACTTAGATTGGAAAATAATTATGGGGAAAGGATAGGTCAATGCAGCTGGGATGCAAAGTCCTCTTTTTACAGTTTTGAGGCACAGACATGTTGGCATAATAATATTTTCCTTGAAAACTCTGTTTAAAAGAACATCACTTTGGAATTTAAAAAAACATTTTTTGTTTGTCAACCATGGCTGAGCTGGTAGTATCCTCACCTCTGAGTCACAAAGCTGTGGGTTCAAGTCCCATTCCAAAGATTTGGGCAAAGAAGTTTAGGTTTAGAGACCACTATAGCCTTAAGGGAGTGTAATATTGTTGGAAGAACTGTTCATTGAATGAGATCTTACCACAACATTATTTCAAAGAAGTGCAGGAATGTTAGCCACCAGTGTCTTGGATAATATATATCCCTCAATCCGTCTCCAGGTTAAAAAGATAGATTATCTGGTCGTCAAACAATTGCTGTTCATTGGAAATTGCTGTGTACAAATGAGTATATTATAACAGTTACTACACTTCATTGGCTATAGAGTGCTTTGGACCATGCTGAAATTGTGAAAGGGGCTATTTAATGTAATTTGAATTTCTTTTTCATTATTTGATGTTTAGTTACAGAGGTGATAATGTCTTTACAACAATGAAATGCTGGAAACTCATCCATGTATATTAATCCTATTCAATTTCATTATGAAGGACTTTGAATTTATCTATGGTTCCTTTTGCACCAGTCAAACAACAGGGTTTGCGTGACAAAACCTGCCTTGTGCTGACTTCAAAGCAAGAATCTTATCATAACCTAGGTACGGGGAAGCTAAAAAAGTAAAGACAGAACCAATTTTCATACAAGCGCACAAATGCTTGGTTGTTCATTGAATCATGAGTCAAATGTGCTAAGTGTCAACATGCGAGCATAAAAGTTGATTGGATATTGTTTGTATGAAATAAAAAATGGAAATAAAAGGTTTCCTTGTCCCCATTTTAAAGGTGGTAGACATTCCCTGTAAACATTAAATCACGGGAGGCCCCTGTAACTCGATGCCTAACAGATGATAATGGCAGCAAGGTTCAGAGAGAATGTTCAGTTGCTGCTAACCTCATCTTTTCCAGTTCTGGGCTAGAGGGGACTAGAGGAATTTAAATTTAAATAGCTTGCAGCGGAAGATAAAAGCACACATTATAAACAAACCCCTTGCTCCAGCATTTTCTTACAAAGGGCAATATCTTTCTCCTCGCTGGTTTTGAAGTTAACCCTTAAAGTAAGTCCTCGAATTTGCAGGAAGCTTTTTCTGATTTTGTCAATGAGGTGAATGTCTCAAGTCTTGAAATGTTAATTCCAAAATTATGAACTTCCTCTTCTTTTGCCTTGAACTTTCTACTGGATAATGTCATTGACTAAAGTGCTAATGTGGAAACCTGCAGTAATTCAGTTCATGACATCATCAATGGAATAACCTGGTGAAAGTAAAGGGAGAATCTGTTTCAGTCAAATTATTCTGTCGTCTGAGGAAATGCAAATAATTCAATATAAAATGCTCCATCTATGTTTCAACATGCACAACATATTATAACATGCAACATAGTGGATAACTATTAACGAGCATTGTCCTTATCACACTCATCTCATACTATTTCTTCAGGTTTCTTTTATCTGTTAGTTTCAAAAGATCTGCACAACAAAAAGGGCAGTGGGAGAAGAAGTCCCCTTTTGGCAAACTCCATATCAGCTAGCCAACAGCAAAATATTTTCCCAACCTGATATGACTTTTTTTTTGTAAAAACAACTTAATTGAATTCTGAATAATATATGCTTTTCTGCACCAATTTTATTCTGGAGCAGTATGCAATCCTATATATTTTGTGATGTCCATTCCGCTGATTAGTTCCTCAATTAAAACTAAACCATCTAATTTTCATCCTTTTATTAACATTTCTTTAGTACTTTCCCTGCCTCTGTATTTTGAATCTTTGCTTTAAATGGAAATTTTGGTTAAATGAATAGCTTAGTAGTATCATTTAACTCACATGGGGCTTCATATACATGGTCAAATCACTTGTAGGTACTTTACTCAGTCACTACCCATTGAAGACTGATTTCTTGACACCTAGGCCCAAGACATGGAGAACTTCTGGTTTCCATGCATGTCTAAGAACTTCATTTACTGTTGTGTATCTGCAGGTATTTGTTCTGGCCATGATGACAGTGGAACTCTTTGGAATTATGGGGCTCATGGGCATCAAACTGAGTGCAATTCCTGTAGTGATCCTGATCGCATCTGTTGGAATTGGAGTGGAATTCACTGTCCATGTAGCTCTGGTGAGTAGATCTGTACTTCCTTACATATGACTACCAACAAGGATAACTGCAGCCCGTACCATGGCAATGACTTTTATCCACAGTCAAGTCTTGGTCTGATGCTGTCTCTCTTTCAGGTTTCTTTTTATCTCTGCATGCCTCCTATTTTCTTTGCCCCTTTATTGCCAGCCGTGCTTTCTACTATCAAAGCCTTAAACTCTGCTGTTCCTTCCCCACACCTCTCAGCATCTCCACTGTCCTTGAAAAAACTTATTGACCTTTATCCATTGCTCCTAATGTATTCTTTGTCTGTATTATTTCAGTGAAGCCTCTTGGTCAAACACTCTACTCTTGAAGCTCCAATTAAATGCAAACTGATGATGCTGATAAGACTATAAATATGGAATGGACTAATTTAGCTGCAGGATAGATTTAATACTGTGACTCATCACGCATACAATAATCTGAAAATACAGTGTTTTTGTTTTGCAGCAAAAGTGAAATAAGCTTCTGACGTATTTAGCAGTTTCATTTGAGTTTATGATAAATCCATTAGTTTAATTTTGAAAGTTTCTTTATTCTTTCATGGGATATTGGCATTACTGACAAAGTCAGCATTTGTTGCCCAAGTTTAATTGCTCTTGAGCTGAGTGGCATTTAAGAATCAACCGCATTGCTGTGGGTCTGGAGTTACATGTAGGCTAGACCAGATGAGGGTGGCAGATTTCCTTCACTAAAATAACAAATGAGTGTTTACAACAATGGACAGTTACATGCTTGCCATTATACTAGCTTTTTCTTCCAGGTTTATATTGAATGTAGATTCCATCAGCTTTTGCTGTGAGATTTGAAACCTTGTTCCAATATTCCAAAGAAGAGTCATATTGGACTCAAACCATGAACCCTGTTTCTCCCTCCACAGAAACTGCCCAACTTGCTGAGTTTCTCCAGCATTTTCTGTTTTCATTTCAGATCTCCAACACCTACAGCATTTTACATTTATTTCAGAGCATTAGCCCATTCCCTAGATCACTACAGCACCAACTCCCACTCAGTGTTTAAGTGCATTTTTTTAATATTTGTACAATTTGACCATAGATATAAAGATGTCTTATTTATTATGTTATAGGGTTTCCTGACTGCCATTGGAAATAGGAATTTACGTTCTGCTATGGCATTGGAACACATGTTTGCACCAGTAATAGACGGCGCAATCTCCACTCTACTCGGAGTCCTGATGTTGGCTGGTTCTGAGTTTGACTTCATCATTAGGTAGGTTTTGAATAGGGACGTTGAAGGGGCAAGTATTTCTGGAAGATTTTTCCTTTACAATTTCCACCACAAATGAGACAGATGGGAGAACTGTTTCAAAAGACTTTTCAATTCTATTTCAATTTCTTTATCTCCGCCCCTAACGTTGTTAAATGCTATTCCCAAACCAAGAAGATACACAAGAGAGGTGATTTTAACCAGCTTGCCAACTGAGAGGGAGTGCAAATGTGGGCAATTTTAAACTAGCTCTACTGTTGGAAAACCAACAGGCCTAGGTGGATGGTACATTTACACCCATCTCATTGACTTTAATAGAGCGTAAAATTGGGAAAGGTGAAAAACTGGATGGCACCCCAATCCTATCAGCTTCAATGAGTTAACATTTCAGAAGTTTCGAACATTTCAGAACTGATGAAGAGTCACCGGACCCGAAACGTTAACTCTGATTTTTCTTCACAGATGCTGCCAGATCTGCTGAGTTTTTCTAGCAACTTCTGTTTTTGTTCCTGATTTACAGCATCCACAGTTCTTTCCGTTTTTGTTCCTATCAGTTTCAAGCCTGGTGGACTAGGTTTCAAATTGTCCATCATGACTTCTCTCATGAACCTTATGAAGCAGTTTTCACTGCTAGAAAATAGACAGTTATGGGTTGTGTTGATTTTCTGTTAGAGGTTCAGTTTCATTGAGCAGAGTTTGATGCCACCTGTGAGTCTGGCAGTGGTGAGGTATTTACTCAGGTAGGAGGAGACAGGTGGGACCCTGTCTGGTCATGAAGGCTTGTAATGTCCTTACCGTTTAGATGCTCAATGAGGTTCTTAAGTGGATGGTGGCAGTTGCCACCACTTTCAGTGGCTGTGACATTCAGCTTACACAGGCTTTGGAATGGCCTATCGACAGTAGCCCTCATCTTTGGAATGGTCGTGCTATTGGAGTCAGTAGCTAGAATGGTAAAACGGCTTTTTTTTGAAGATGTACATGTTTGAAAGAAATGACATGATTGCTGAAATGTTCCTTACCCTCGAAGTGGTGCTGGATCAAACCAATAGAGCACCTCAATCTACTGCAGAACTGCAGTCTAATAAAGCTCTGTTTTTATCATTTCAGGTTAAATATTCACTGAATGTCAACTTTAATAAACTGCATTCTTTAAATCTTGCTAAAGATATAACAAATGCCCACAGTAGAGTTGCTGAGGTGCTGATGCCGCCTCCAGTGTCTGTAGCAGATTTGATGCCCATATGTAATAGTGCTTTAAGTCTTGTCATCACTCGCTGTAAGGGTGATACTCAGCTGTCATTCCTATTCATCTGATTGATGTAACCTATGACACTGAGTAGATATCCAGTCCATAAGTACTCCCAGAGCAGAAGTTAGAATTTAACATGCTGGCTTCCGGAGGGAACCAGGATAAATGTTTTAAGTCCCAAATCCATTGCTTTGAGTAAGATGGAACGAGTCAGATTTTAAATAATGTAGAAAATGTAAAAGGTAGTCATGAAATAAATGCGAAACTACTTTTAGTTCCTTTCCTCTTCCTCCTGAATGTGCTTCCGTTCTTCCTTGAACCATACCATTAGATGGAGCTGATAGTTTTACTTTACAGCAGTTTGTCAGATCAGCCTCAGTGGCTCGTGACTCATGGGGCCAACATACCCTGGATCACTGCTCTAACTTTGGGAGAACTCACTAGACAATGATGGACAGAGAGATTCTAGCATATTTTGCCAGGAGTACAGTTTCCCTTAAAGGACAGGCATTTTCTGGGCCAGAGACTGAGCAGCGTCTTATTTTTCTGGGACTTGCTGCCATTAAGCTAAATGGACCCCTGCATATACAATTGCTGAAGGCCAGCACGTTGGGAAGGGAGAGATCCAAATCCAGATGAAATTTGTACTGCAGTTGCAAGCTTTAACATCATCAGGCTGTCATGGATATACACTTTAAAGGTTGAAACTGGCCTTGCCAAGGAGAAATTTCAATTAAGATTTTAGGATATAAAGCAATAGCAAAAACAAAACAAAGATCATTTGATTGCCATATCTTCCCGCACCCATATTTTCCAAAATGCAGCATTAGTCAGTCACAGCATGTTCCATATAAGAAAGACTTGTATTTATAAGACGCCTGTCATGACCTCAGGACATTCCAAAGCCTTAACAGCCAATGAAGCACTTTTGAAATGTTGAGATACAGAAAACATAGCAACCAATTTGCACACAGCCCCACAAGTAGAAATGAAGTAATCTGCTTTTGGTGTCACTTGAGGGGCACCAGGGAGAACACCACTGCTATTATATGAAGTAGTGCCACAGGGTTTTTTAAACAACTCCCCAAGAGAGCAGACACAGCATATGTTCAGTGTCTCAGCCAACCGACAACTCCTCCAACAGCACTGTACTCCCTCATTAGAGCTGTGGAGTGCCAGCCTGGGCTATGCATGAAGACTCTGATGTGGAGCATGAACGCACACCTTCTGACTTACAAGCAAGAGTGTTACCACTGAACCATAACTGACAGGATGTGGAACCATATATTGCAAACAGAATCAAACACCAGAACCATAGGTTCTGTCATGTGATGAAGCCCATTAGTTCAGTAATACACGTTTTATTCATAAAACTGCAAGTTAATCAGTTGACCGGTCACAAAATAAATGTTCGAACCAAGTAAAATCCTATGCCTGTGTTGGCTGTATTGCACAGGAGTAGAAGGTGTTTGAAATTCCTGATGAATCTGCTCAGATAAGTTATTTGTGCCAGCATATTGGGAGAAGACGGGCAATGACAGACTGAAAACCAGAATGAGTCAGCCCACAGAATGGCTCTTGATAGAGGATCGGGACAAGGTTGCTGGCTAACTCTGTTTTTCAGAGAGAAATTGGTGGCAGAGGGAGAAGGATCAGAAATGTTAAATGTTTATAGAGAAACAGGAAAATATATTCTCCCCTCTGTATCATTTAGAAATAATGAGAAACAGGGAATCTATTTTGCAAGTCCAAACTGTCATTTTTCTTCTAAACATTGAACTAAATGAACCACAAGGTAGACTTTCAGTCAGGGAGGTCTTGTTTAGAGAGCCAGTCAGATAGCGTGGGTTAGTGTAAAGAAGTTGTTGTAAATATTTCTTCTTTGGTGCATGCACCATAAACAGCTGAACAAACTCTGCATTTTTCAGCAAGCCTTCCTCAGAATGGAAAAGATTACAGAAAGGATAAACAACGAGATTCTGACATGCTGCCTACATGGAGGTCCTGTACAACAGGCCAACCGATTGATTTTCAGACTGTTGGCTTAAGTAAAATAAATAGAAGATGGTTGCCTGTCTGATTGCAGTAATAGGAGGGCTCCTCTTGTTACAAAGGGCAAAAAGAAGGTGACAATCAAGGCTTCAGTTTTTTTTTTCTTGATGTGGGGGCTATCAGCCAGCTTTTCATTTGCCACATTTGCCAAATTTTGTTAACCCCACATTCACCAGGGAAGGACAGTGCAAATGGATTAAATATTGTAGCAAAGGTCACTCTGAGTGCTGCAGCTAATTAAACTGACTGAGCCTTAAGAGTCTGGGAAGGTCTTTGCACTACGATCATTCTCCAAATTTGATCAAAATCGTAGGAGTATTCAGGGGTTTGAGAACAGGCTGAGGCTAAACATCTACGCCCCTTTCTATTTAGAATTAGCAGAAGACAAACACTGAGGCAACTCTCATTACGAAACCTAGCAATGTGGAAAACTCAATCTAATGAATGTTCTGGCAGCAAATGAGGGAGACAGTAAATTTTGAGGGAGTTGTGTTTGGCTGAAAAAATAAGAGTGGCTGAATTTGTTTTTCAGCACTATCACCAGGAATCTTGTGCTAAATGATTTATCAGCAGTCTTGGAATCTAGGACCATAACTATATTTGTTTTAAAAACAAGGTGAAAAGGAAATTGGCACAGAGAAGGGGCACTTAGATTGGGTTCATTCTGATGTGACCAATGCTTTTCATGAAGTTAGTGATCGAAATTTGTCCAGCCTCGTTTGCAATGGCTTCAAAAGGGTATTTACTGCTGATACCACTGGCTTTTGCCCAAACAAAAAAATTCCTCATGCAATGCCAAAGCCCCTTTAACAAATGGTAATACAAGAGCCTGCTGCTCCCCCAAACACATGTAAACAGAACCAAGCCACAGTGGAAACTCACAAGCCAAAAAAAAAATTGTTTTCAATGAGGCGGGGAGACAGATCCTGATGCTCCATCAGAGTTGCGTGCCATTCCTGTGAATTCCAACCAAAGCATATTGTTGCTTATCTTAGTGTGCTGTTAAATAAACACTTGGCCTTCCGCTGCACACATGGGGCTCAAAGGCTTTAAAGCAGAAAAGACTAGTCGAAAGCTTACTGCTGTTCTGCAGCTGTGCTCAAGTTTCTGGCTTGTAGCAATTCCTGTTCTTTAACATAGGTTAGGCTACTGCATATTTTAAATGATCAAGTATTCCTACGTAAAGGTACAAAGACAGTAGATTAATATTGTACCAAGTAACAAAAAGCAAGGATATGAAATTCACCATTGGCTTTATTTCATCTCTCTTTCTGGTGAGGTATTAAATTAAGGCCTTGGTTCACCTTATTTCACAGATAGACACAAAATATCCATTGTTACATTTCAAAGAAAAGCAAGAAACCTCCCAGCCAATATTTATCCCTCAGTCATCATCACCATAAAAAGTCTTATTTGATTATTAATGATCATTGATATTTGTGAGACTGTAATGAGCACAAATTAGATGCTGTGTTTGCTGAAATTACAAGTAGAAGGACCCAAGATTTTGTAAGGTGCTAATTAAGTGCAAGCTTATTCCTTTTTTTACAGAAAGCAATGATTGGCCTTGGAAAGAGAGGTGAATTGGTTTAAGGACGGAAATTGTAATGTTTAGGGCACCAACGGCATTGGCACCAGTGATGGGTTTACTTAAATCAGGGTTGCTTATGTGACCAGAATTGAAAAAGTGCAGATGTTGCAGACAGTTGCATGTCTGGAGGAAGCTAGAATTCGAAAAGGGGCAAGAAGCTATGGTAGTATTTGAAAACAAGAATGAGGATTTCAAAAATCCAGGAATTGCTAAACCGGGAGGTATGGAAGTGAGCACAAATGTGACATATGAACAGAAACTTGGTATGTGTTAGGACACAGGTATAGCAATTTCAGATGACCTCAGGTCTGTGCAAGGTGGAACGTGGGAGGCTGACCAGGAATACATTGGAATAATCAAGTCTGGAGGTAACAAAGATATGGATGAGGTTTTCAGTGACAGATGAGTGAAGGCACGGATAAAGCTGTACAGAATTTAGAAAATGGAAGTGGTTTGTCATAGTGACGGCACAAATCCATGGATCAAATTTGACACCAAACTCCTCTTGCATCACTTAAGAGGCTTCTATGTATGAGCGTATATATTATGAAGATACTGGAGTTTTCTTGAGTATAGAACTGAGTCCGTTTCCTTCTCTCTCACACACACATATACTCACAGAGTGCAGGAAGTGTCAGGACTGTAATGATAGATGAGCCTGCCACTGGGAATAGGGCTAAACCCTCTGCTGAGGAATTTCATTTGAAATCAAGCCAAATGTCTTCATTCTTCCAAGTACAGTGAGGAGTTTCTGTGGAGGCCCTTTGCTCTGTAATTAATGTATGCCTTTGGACCAACAGGCCCGAAACGGGAAATTGGCCATAATCATTCACAACCTTTACCAATTTACTTAAACAGCAGGAGATGTAGGTCACAGCTAACCTTGGGACATGCCACCTAAGGTTTTGGAGTAGATTTGTAGCTCGGGTTGTGGGTGTTGAGGTTGGTTGGCTCGCCGAGCTGGTTTGTTGTTCCGCAGACGTTTCGTTAC